GAAGAATGGGTGTGATCTGCCTTAGGTATGCCACTACCCTCTTCCATCTCACTAAGATCTTGCGTCTTACAGCCTTTTAGTGGGTGGATGTCAATATCTTCAAGTTCGCTCAGAACGATCAAGAAAAAGGGTAGGTACTTAATTAAAAGCCAGTGTGAGATTTCATTTGACCGACCGAAAAGGAGACGGAATCGGACTCTGAGTGCGGCAACTCGGTACTAGCCTCCTGATTGAGACTGATGGACAGTGCTTCAAGGTCGCGAGCGATGAGCTTATCAAGATCGGCCTTTATAGCGGCTAGTCGTGTGGGCGAGGTCTCCTTCACGCCCAATTTGGCCAACTCGGTACTGATCTCCTCCAAAGTAAATTCCAAATCGGGTGGAAGACCATTGTCACTGACAGATGACGTTAGCATGATGTTGCCTAGGGAAAACAATTAGGGAAATTGGGCTATCTCACACCTGAGCAATGCCTTTCACAACAATAGACGATTGTGAGAGCCACAAATCTTGTGATGGTAGGAAAAGCGGAAAATCCGGTGATTGCTCTTTTGTCATTGTGACTAGAGCATCGCCCAAGAGCATGGACATGATTGGCCAGGCACAGGTGACTAACACATCCGGTTGCTAAGGCTCAAATTCTGATGACAGTGTTGGGGTGAATGCAGTTGGGAGATGCCGTCACAGTTAGGAATACTTGAACAATTTTGGTGAATGAGTGAAGGCTGCAGCAAGTTAAGAGGATAACCACTACCGTGACATTTGTGACACCAAGACCTTGCATAAGTGCGACGAAGCTTCTTCATCAGTCAGAAGTAGTACAAGACTAGTGGTAGTAGTCGGCGTGAGAAGCTTAAAATATTGAAAAATATGGTTTTACAAATAAGAACGACTATCACCCACCAGGCAGTATTTCAAGGAGCAGTCTTGCTGTGCTCAACCTCTCTCCCTCACCCGGAGGTAGGAAGAGAGAAGGCTCGTATAAAAGTCAAGATCAATAACCAGTAGCCGATTTTGAGCCCGCAAATGAGGCGTTATATGAAGAGCGTCAAATGGCCAATGAAGTTGGTAGTGTCTCAAAGGAGAGTCAATTTTACACAACACTTAACACACTCCGATCATACTCCTTTCAATGCAGCACGTAGCAAGCCAATGATAGTTTCACGTTTACCCCCAACAAGAATATGGGTGCAAGTTAGACACTCTAAGACTGATATCTTAGCGACTTTTCCGATCGATCGGCCGTAAAAGCACTCAACAAGAATAATCAAGAGTTAAACCTGAGAAGTTAAGACCCCAGTTTGTAAATTCATACTTCGACAAAACATTGAGTTTAAATTTCAGCTTAGCTTGAGCTAAATAAGACGATGAAGCGCCCCTCTTTACCAATTTAGTCTCAATTCATTACAGCTTCAAATATGAAAAGGTGTTGAAGTAACAAAAAAACAGCCCACCAATCCTACGATTCAGATAGCCCATACAGCGCATACAGAGCCCCATGGTTAGATGAATATGACATGGTAAAATGAGGGCGTGAAATTGCTATGAACAAGGGAATTTGCCGGGACCCATGGATTCGATTCCACCACTCAACTGCCTGCTAATTACCAGGCTCATAAAGAGATAAATCGCCTTATCAATCAACAGAGAAGGGCATCAATAAAGACCGAATAGGATACGAGAAGCTTGATATAGAGATTTAAACTAAAAAAACGCACAAACAGAAAAAAATGGACAAGAGCGTAATCAGTATATGGACAAAAATGTACACCATCGCTTATCTTAAACCAAATTGTAACAAACCTGGTCATCACATTCGTCCTTTGAAACGTAAAGCTGTGCAAAGTAGTGCGAAGCAGCAAACAATGTGAACGAACGAGGCATAAGTCAAAAGGATCGAGAGTAAAAAGGAAGTGAAATTATTCCTTTCTATAAAAATCAGATATACACATAGGAGATGAACGAATGTACATGCCGGTCTGAGCAAGATGGTAGTCAGAAACGTAGGAGGAAGCCATGATCAGGTCCAGAGCCACGAATTCCACTCCCACCACTGGCGATAGCATTACGTGAAGGTGTGCGCTTGGATGCGGCAGCAAAGAAGCGCGAGGCACCAAGTGGTGGTGGAGGCTCCTGCAACGGACCTGTGGCGCCAGGCGGTGGGCGAGGTGAGGCAGGACGCTGCGAGGACTGTGGCGGCCGACCTCCACCCTCAGACTTAGCTGGCCAGCTGGGCATCATCGATGGGTGGATGGCCTGTGGACGCTCTGTGAAATAACGGTGTGAAAGTGCCCTTTCCGCAGTAATCCGCCGCTCTGGACAATAAGTAAGGAAGCTAAAATGATCGACGCAAGAATTGCGTTTAATAATCCTCACTATCAACACAGAGTATTTGCTACACAGCTAACTCACTTGGTAAGGAGCTCAAAGCCGAGGCCAGAGATTTGCTTTTCAGTGAAGCGACGTCGTAGCTGGTTGTAGGGGTACTCAGTGAAGACACCATTACGCATGCCGGGGAGTTGAGTTACACCTGGCCAGATGCGCTCGTTGGGAGTACCAAGATCACGGAAGATCATGTTTATTTGATCTACCTCGCCTTTGCCCGGAAAGAGGGGCCGTTGAAGAAGGAATTCCGCGAAGATACATCCAACCGACCAGAGGTCAATTGGGGTAGAGTAGGATTTGCTGCCTGTAGAAGTGCAAATAAACTACAATGGAGATTAGGATTGAAAAGTGACTGAGCGTTAAAGCGCAAGCGAGAAAGCCTTACCTAGGAGCAGTTCAACAGCACGGTACCACAGTGTGACAACAACCTCTGTGTAATGCTGAAGTGGAGAGCCGTATTCGCGAGCCAGACCAAAGTCGCCAACCTTGAGGATACCCTTGTGACTTAGGAGCAAGTTCGACGTCTTTAAGTCTCGATGGAGGATCCAATTGTCGTGCAAGTGCTGAACTGCACGAAGGAGTTGGATTAACAGACATTTCACTTGACCCACTGTGAAAGGCCCACTCATAACCTAAACGAAACCAGAGAATGTAAAGGGAAAGAAAGAGGTGATATAAATGGGTAAGTAATCAAACACACCTCCATGAGGGATTTCAAATCATGTTCCACGTACTCCATTACCAGATAGATTTTGTCCAAGTCAAATCCGACCACAATCTCTCTAACAGTGACAATGTTTTCATGCTGAGCCTTCATCAAGGTGTTAATTTCACGCAATGAGGTAATGGGGAACCCCTCCCGCTCCTTCTCCATCTTCAGACGTTTCAGAGCCACTACTTCGTTGGTTCGCTTATCGCGCGCTCGATACACTACCCCATAGGTACCCTCCTCAATGCGATTGAGGCATTCAAACTCATCTACTGATCGGCAACCTTGGATGGAGGGGAAGTAGAAGGGCTTAGGTGGTGCCCGGTCAAGCTGCGATTCGCCGTCTCCATTCCCATCTTTTGCTTCAGCACCATTGGCTTCCAGCACCCCGCATTCCTCACTGTATATCTCCTCTCCATCATCCTCCTCTTCTTCCTCTTCCTCCTCTAAATACTTCAAGTGGCTACCATCAATAATGGGGGCGCGTCCAGGAACAAGACGGGTATTCAGCCCGGAAGGTTCCAGAGGCGGCGGAGGCGTAATGTATGTGTCTGTTTTTACTCCAACGCCTCCCCGATTGTGTGTAGGAGAGCGTGATCGGTTGCGACCCGAGGATGGCGGAGCAGGAGACCCAGAGGAGTGGTAGGCCTTCTTTGCTACACCGACAGGGATTGGAACGACGTGTTTGTGTATTTCCGACTGCAGTTCAGGTTTTGGGTGTGAGCGGTGCGAGGACTGACGATGGTGATGACGGCGATTATGACGAGACGACGACGTCATTGATACGGACGATGAGGTGTTGGGCTTCTTTCCAGGTATTTCGATCCTCGACTGTTCATGAGTGCGTTTAATCGAGCGCTTCTCGTTGCTACTTTCACTACTCGAAGAGGACGTGAGATTTTGAAAGGCACCTAAAGAAACAATGAATGTCCCTTGAGATGGAGTAAGACTATTCACAAAGGAATAATAAAAGCATACCAGCGCTAGCCGAACTGTGAACATCCGACTTCTCCAACAAAACGTTGCGATCATCAACAGACCTCTCTGGGGAGTCGAATTTGGACCGTGGAGGGAGATGAACAGAATTGCTCTTCGCCATAGCTGTCGCGGCCACTGCTGCTTCTGCCTCCCTCTCAGCCTTCCGCCGAGTTAGACGAGATCGATACTCGCGTTCTTGCTGTTCATTTTCCACGGTCCCAGCGTTATCGTCACTGGAAGCCTCCCCTTCCTCCGAAAATGCTTCACCCTCTTCTCGGGGGGAGTGATTGGGTGGGAGAATTATTTCATCATCAATTTCATCCTGTGCATAAACACATGAATCCGTCATTTACCAAATCCAGTAGGGCACTAAATCTATGCCCATGCAACATGAAATGAACCTTAGCTCACAACATCTAAGCTGTTGCTACCTCAAGGCTTTAGCATGGTCTAGACAAGTTTTCGGACACAGATGGCTTCACATTAAATGCCCAAATTTTCTAAACAATTACAAATCTTTGCATACTGAACAAAGTTCGAGTAATCAAACAATCCAAACGTATGAAAAATTTACTATGTCAGTCCGTATCGTGATTGATGTGAGAAGAGAATCAGGTGAACTATGGAACGCTAATCACTTCTGAACCAAATAATTTCAAGTCGTAAGCGGTTGTGTCAACGTAATTATATTATACTTGAGTAATTCGAAGTAAAACACAGCGTAACTCCTTATTACAGATTAAGCCCATATTCCTAGATCCAAATGCTTCAAAAATCCAAAATACCTTCAGTGAAGTAGAAACTGGTTTTAATAAAAACAACTTAGTCTTTAGACTTTGAAGCAGATAAGTGTATGCAAAAATAGCACAGATTAGAGATCCTACTCACGTAATCCAATTCCTCATCATCCTCCATGTAGTGCTTAGTATGTTCTTTAGGATTGTATTTTGTTGATTTCGACAAATCATCACGAGCCATTTTAGTCAACCCCGGAGATAACGGCAAATCCTTTCCAATAAAACATAGTACGTTATAAAATGGCAAAGTAGAAAATAAGGTAGTCCGTTAATTAGTATGGTTTCCGAAAATGCTACTGACAACAAATAATAACTAACGATAATCACAGATAGCTTGCAAAACATTATGGCGGATAAAATCAGGGGTAGAGGAAAGCAGTAGCAAGTCTCGCACCTGTGTACCCAAACCAGCACCCCACGGAAGAAGCTTAGATAACTGA